ATGGTACCTTACGAGCTGTGTTCCCCTTAACTGCAGGCAAGATCAATAGCGACCTTGAAGTGCTCGGGTTCTATGTGGCTGGTGCGTCTGTTTGATTTAACAGAAAGGTTGTTCTGGTCTATATTTCCTATCAAGGAGTCTCTATCATGCCATCAAACACCAAAAGGGGGGAAGTTAGTTAAATCAGTCACTCAAAAAGACAGCAGCCATCGGCCTCTGGATTACAAAGTAAACTAACATAAACACATTCTATATCACCAATTATAGTTTAACAAACTTATAATAAATATTCATGTGCCCAGCTGCATCTGTGCAAATACAACGGAGTATGGAGTGGTCTGTCCTTGCTTTTTTTAGCTGCTCATCCTAATGCAGGTCACCAGAAACATGGGAAAGATTTAACACTCGGAATGGATCACCATTAGAGAATTAACACGTGTGTCCAGACTCACTTTTCTACTCGACAGCCGTGAACTAGAGGGCAACGTGCCTCCATCTCCCTCCCTTACCTCCTCCAAACTGAATTCAAGAATCTGTGCTTGGAGAGTCCACACACATATGTGCTTGCTCAGAATCTACTGATATTAGAAGTGAAAATCCCATCATGCCTAGGGAGGGCTGTTCCTACCAAAGAAGAGTTTTTCAAATCCTGAAAACGCATTATGTCTAATGAAGCAAAATTACAGAGCTACCTCAATACCTCGCATATTAGACAGATGAGGGCAACAGAACAGAAAGGCCGGAAATAGACCCAAGTGGTGATGTAATTTGGTATTTGATAAATATGGTATTTGTCTTCCTCTGTCTGACTCATTTCACTTAATATAATGTCCTTGAGGTCCATCCATTTTGTCACAAATGGCAAGATTTCATCATTTTTTATGGCTGGATCATATTCCACTGTATATAGATCTCACGTGTTCTTTATCCAGTCATTCACTAAAAGACACATAGGTTGTACTCTGCTTTTCTCCGCTGTATCTCTGTTGTATCTTACTGTATCCCTACAGTAAATAATGCTGCAATAAACATAGGGGTGCATATAACCTTTTGAGTTCGTGTTTTCCTGTTCTTCGGATAAATATCCAGAAATGCAATTTCAAGATCGTAGGGTAGCTCTATTTTTAACTTTTTAAAAAATGTTTTAAAGATTTTATTGATTTATTTGACAGAAAGAGACACAGCGAGAGAGGGAACACAAGCAGCGGGAGTGGGAGAGGGAGAGGCAGGCTTCCCGCAGAGCAGGGAGCCCGATGCGGGGCTCGATCCCAGGACCCCGGGATCATGACCTGAGCTGAAGGCAGACGCTTAACGACTGAGCCACCCAGGTGCCCCTGCTTTTAACTTTCTGAGGAACCTCCATGCAGTTTCCCACAGTGGCTGCACCAGCTTGCATTCCCACCAACAGTGTAAGAGGGTTCCCCTTTCTCCACATCCCCACCAACATTTGTCGTTTCTTGTCCTTTTGATACCAGCCATTCTAACAGATGTGAGGCAACAACTCATTGTGGTTTTGATTTGTATTTCCCTGATGGTCAGTGATGCTGAGCATCTTTTCATGTGTCTGTTGACCATCTGTATAAATGAAGAGAATGAAAATTTTTCATTCTTAACTGAGTTTCAAGGTAGCGACCTCCACCCTGGATCAAATCTGAACATTCAAATCAGTCAAGTTTTCAAACCTTATCCACAGAATAGATGCATAGACAAGCGGGAAATTCCCATTCATTGAAATGAAACATATTTTGAATCAGAAAACATTATTTCTGTTCTTTGTTCCTAGGCATATGTTTTTCTGGGCACACTTAAAATCTATTAGGACTCCCAGGGTAGTAATATTTAACTCCCAACACACTTAATGCTTTACATTAGAAGACTATCCTAAGACAATGTTATATTGCTCATCAAGTTAGTTACTATATACTTAACTATAAATTGCAACTGAATTTAATTAAGTAATTATATTTTTGAAGAGTAACCTTTTAGGCAAATACATGGTCACCTGTTGAGATATTTGATCCTTTTTAATCTCCGGGGCTTAGGATCATGCCTGGCAATAACAGACACACAGTGATGGTTTGTTGATTTGAATTTCACTAAAAGTAAGAAATCAGAGGTGCGGGTGCCTGGGTGGCTCAGTCGTTAAGCGTCTGCCTTCGGCTCAGGTCATGATCCCAGGGTCCTGGGATCGAGCCCCGCATCGGGTTCCCTTCTCGAGGGGAAGCCTGCTTCTCCCTCTCCCACTCCCGCTGCTTGTGTTCCTGCTCTCGCTATCTCTGTCTCTGTCAAATAAATAAATAAAATCTTAAAAAAAAAAAAAAGAAATCAGAGGTGCACGGAGGAGCCACACACGCCTAGGAAAGTGTGGGGACGGTGGCCTGGGCTTTCTTGCCCCTGCCAGTGCCATGAGCCCTGGGTGTAAACCCAGGCCATCCAACTTCAAGCGCTATCCTCAGTCCTCGAGTTACCTTTTCTCTTCTTTTGCTCAAAACCTCCCTGACAACAGAAAAGGAAGGAAGCCCACCATTTGCAGCTAAAAGGTCACTTTTAAATCCCAGTTCAACTGGGGAAGGAGATCCAGCTGAAGGAGCTTTTTCCTCCTACCACGTTCTGTAGGATTTTTGATGTGATCAGAGGTGGGACTCACTGAGATTCAGCTGTGTGGGTTGATCGAAATTAACTTGCTTCGTAAGACAAGATAGGGTTGAGTTATTACATTTTACAAAGGTACCCTTACACCTTCAAACAGTTAAAATGGTGAAGTCTGTGTGGTGTGATTTTTCTTTCAACTTAAAACAATTTGTATTAAAGTATAGCTAGTGCTTCCTACCTCTGGACTTTGCCCTTTCGTGCACCAATAAAATCTTGCTATTTCAGGAGCTGGAGCTGAAGAGTCTTATTTGCAGCCTGAAGCATCTTAACACATAGATCGTGTGTAACTTGTGTTTTTGAATCCGAAAGAGATGAAAAATGCAGAGCTTGCATCCTAAATAGTAAAATGTACAATGTATCGTCCACACATTCTGTACATCTATAGTTTAAAAATGAGTGTCACTAAATTCTGGATAAAGGTGGTGAACTCTTCAGGGCCCAACTACCTAAAAAAAGAAAAAAGAGCCCTCTCTCCCCCTCCCCCGTCTCCCCAGGAAAAAAGGGAGGGGCAGAAAACAAAAATATAGCAGTTACCAAGAATCACCAAACACAAAAAGGAGAAGCACTCAGCGAGCCGAACTTGGAAAGGTGCTGGCTCATATGAAAAACGGAAGTTGGAGAGAGTCATGGTGAGGTCACATCCCGCCTCCCTGAAACCGTATCTTGTGAGTCTATAGAATCCCCGCAGTTCTCACTCAAATCTTGAGGGGATAAAGAAGAGTCATTGCATATTCTCAGTTTTTCCTGATTTTGACTGTGGGGTAGTGAAAATGGCCGCAGTGGGGATGAGCAGAAAAAGAAAAATGTCAGCACCTGGGCATGGCTTTGTCACAAGTGTGAAGACTGGGGCCCCACAGGAATTAGGGAACTGACCTGATGCCCAACGGTGCCTCCAAAGGAGTGGGCGAGCTCCTCCCTTTCCCTCTGCCAGCGAGGAGCGGACCCCCCTGCATCCAACCCAGAGTCCTGTGGGCAGGGGGGAACCCCGTTGGCACAACTCATCTTCAGCTAAGCCTATCCCCCAATGCTTGAAGGCTCTAGAAAATTAGTCATAAAAGGAATATGAAGCCCCGGAACTGTAGCCCTGAAAGAGAAAGATCTGCCATAAGGATCAAGGAGCTGTCACCCTCCGAGGAGCAGAGCAAAAACAATTCTGGGAAAACCCTGCCAAGCCAGGGCAAGGTGAAAACAGTGAAGCAGTCACCATGCTAACAAGGATAAAGAATCAGAATAAAAAGACCAAGAATAAAGAACAAAGAACCAGAATGGTTGGGACCTCTGGACATCAACACTTGAAGCAAGAAACCAATAGAATAATGACTTACAAAATGTTACCAAGAATCTGCGGGTGGGGCACTGTTTTATGGGAAAATTTTTTTTTTTTAAAGATTTTATTTATTTGACAGAGAGAGAGACAGCGAGAGAGGGAACACAAGCAGGGGGAGTGGGAGAGGGAGAAGCCGGCTTCCTGCTGAGCAAGGAGCCAGATGTGGGACTCGATCCCAGGACCCCGGGATCATGACCTGAGCCGAAGGCAGACGCTTAACCATCTGAGCCACCCAGGCGCCCGTTTTATGGGAAATTTTTAAAAGAAGGCTGTTCAACCCAAGAACGAGGAGAGGGGATGGGAGCTGAAGGCTAAGAGAGGTGTTCTCAAAATATTTTTAAAACTGCAGTAAATATTAAACTTAATGTATTTAGCTCCAGGCATGAGGGCCGGTTGTGGGTGGAAGGAAGCAAGTTAAACTCACTGTCAAGAGCCCTGAAATAGCGAGAGCCCTCAGAAAACGGCGTTGGAGAAGCCGGGCCGTGCAGCGGTGCGCAGGGAAGTCTGCTGTTCGCCTGGAGCCCGGCGCAGGGTGGCACAGGGCCTTGTGGTCACAGGTCAGCAGGGGCGTCTTGGGTTGGCGACTGGGAATACACCACACAGTGAGCAAGATGGTCTTGCCAGGCCGTGGCTCGGCGAAATGGGCGCGCCCCTGAGTGCTGTCGGCCCTTCAAAGGCCCAGGGGGCAGGCTGGCGAGGTGGCCCGAGGGTCCTGTTGCTGGCAGCGCCCCTCGTCCTATAGGAAGGCCCCTTGCGCGGCCCTGCTGCGCCTGGACGGCAGGGCGCAGGGGCGCAGGGGCGCAGGGGCGCTCGGAGCCACTGAGGCGCAAGGGCGGCAGGGCGGGCCGGGGCCGCGGGGGCGCCGGGGGCAGTCGGAGCGGCTCCGGGGCGGGGGGACACTCGGGCGCAGCGGCGGGGGTGGGGAGGGGGGCGGGCCCGGGGCGCTGGGGCGCGGCGGCCGGGAGGAAGTGCGGGGCTGCCCGGGCGCATTAAGGAAGTTGCCCAAAATGAGGAAGCGCCTCGCGCTGGGCGGCTGAGGCGACTCCAGCAGCGGGACGAGCGAGGACGAGCGAGGACGAGCGCGCCGGCCCGCGCTGCGCCCCGAGCGGTCCCGGCCCCGGCCCCGGCCCCGCGCCCCGCGCCCCGCCCTCGGCTCACCTGGCACAGGTAGGTGTGCCGCGCGCTCCCTCCGCCCGGCAGCGGGGACGCGGGGCCCGCGGGCACCCTCGCGCGGGGGAGATGCGGCCTGCGCGCCCCCACCCCCGGGCCCAGGTCTGGGCCGCCTCCCGGGCGGGGCAGATGCGCGCAGGGCCTCAGGCCTTTGCCAAAGGAGGGATGATCTGATCGACTCTTGTGAATCAGAGCCGGTAGGTGCTGCCAGCTTTTGTCCCAGACGCAGCGCGTCTGGGGGTCGGGCGCGCCTGTCCGGGCAGCGCGAGGCCGGGCGCGGGTTCGGAGAAGCGCGGGCCCAAAGCGCACATTTTCGTTTGGCCGTTTTCAGATCCGCTGGAAAACTCCACTGTATTTATGGGAGTGACTCAAGGTGCACATGCTTCTGTGCCTGCGGAGGGTTTAATATATCCACGCCTTTTCCTACGGAAAGAAAGAGCAGTTGCATAAAAACACGAAACTTTCTTAGCCACCGCTGAAATTTAGCAGGATTGCTCACTGTGACACATTTTCATGCTAAAGTAACTTAATTAGCCAGCAAGGGACTTGGAGAGCCAAGTGTAAGTTTGAGTTAAATATTGTTTTGGCGAAATATTCCAAAACGTTAAGCCCACCTACATTACTGCACAAAGGCAGTTCAGTTTTAGGTTTACTCGAATGTTCCAGAACTAGAAAGCCCGTCACTAGAGAAGTTACCGTTTGAATCTTTTGCTGCAGGTTATTTTTATCAGTTTGCCTGAATCACTGAAGATTCCACTGATCCCTAGCAAACCTTAACTGGCAGGCGTTCCTTTCCTTAAACCCTGGAAGCATGTCAGCGCGTTGTTAGGAGTTGGAGATGCCCCACATCTCAATTTTCTAGTTAAAAAGGAGTTCATCTTGTGATGACTTGGAATTCCTGGAAGAAATGGAAATGATTCTAGAGGCTGAAGTCTTTGTTTTCGTAAGAACAAATTCATTGCTACTAGGAACACAGCATTTCAATTAAATGCAACTGAATTCATTGATCTGCCTCGCCCCCCAAAGAAGTCCATATAATGCACAAATATATTTATCCTTGAGCTAAAACGTTGAAAAACTTGTAGAGTATTAAGTGTTTTTAATGAGAAATCCTGTCTGTTAAAATTATTTTATCAAACAATTTTGTCCCTCCTCCATTATACTTTTGTTTTGATGTGTTTAGAGAAATTTTGCAGTAAAATAGAAATGGATTTGGATTCTCTGTATGTGGAGTGCTTTCAGAGGTAGGATTTTATAAATAGGCTTAATAACTAGAATGTTTTTAATGTTTTGAGCTAGGGTAAAAATTGAGGTATATACTTTAGGTCTTCCCCTTTCCCAAGGGATGAAATTGACATAATTTTATTGCTAGATCTGTATTTAAGAAATAACTCACGGTAGCCTCCTTTAGGCTCATATTTAGTATTCTAAGCACAGGTCTGATTTCTCTGTTTTTATTTTATTTTCCTTTTTTTTTTTTTTAATTTCTCTGTTTTTACACCAAAAACTTCTTAAGTATGGTGTCACTTACGCAGTACATAGCGCGTCCATACTTATTTTCCAAAACCCTTGTGCTGCTATGTTTTGGAATCGTGGGTTGTTCACAACTTAGAATTCAAATTGAGGCTCTAAATTTCAGTACTGAGAAAAACATTTCTCAGAATTTAGAAAGGTACTGCTCCCTGGGCAGCCTCCTACATTCCCACTCGTTCATATATCTGCACTAACAGTGTGATTCGTCCCGCTCAGTGGAATAAACAGACTATAAATAGCTGTGTGTCTGTTTAGGGCAGATGTTGTCACCAAGTGAGTTCCCTAAAACTTACCTCAAAACCTTGTTTCTCTGAGCTTTTGCGCCTTAGGACTTAAGGGACCCTTTAAGACTCCTAGGGGCTATTGTTTACTTTCGGAAATAGATTGCATTTCTACTGCGCAGTAGCTCACACCTTCTGCGATTAAAATGGGCAGTTGTGCCTTTTCGGGGAGTCTGAAATAGCAAGACTTCGCTGAAATTTCGGTGATAACAATCACAGTACAGATCCCGGTGAGAATAGGATGTTTCTGATACACAGTGCTCTCAAACAGCAAGGGTTCCGAGGTCGATGATTTCAGAGCAAGATCACAGGGAGGGTACTGCCATGCTTTATAGCTCCAGTGTCTTTGGAAGAACCACTGTTCCTGTCCCCTCCACGCCTGGCTCGCTGTCTGCCTGTTATCTGTGCCTAAGGAATGGCCGAGTACTTTTCCCAATCCGAGCTAATTTTTGCTTCATCCTCACTCCTCTCCCCCGGATCCCCATTTGCAAGTTTTAACATTTTCTTCCCTTTCTGGATTGGTTTCCCTGTAAATGAGTAGAGAAACAATGAACTCTTTAGGCCCTTGGGGGAGAATTATTTTTTAAACATTCACGCACTGAACTTTTTTTTTTTTCTTTTAAAACAATTGAAGTCAAAAGGCAGAGTCTTCTTGAGAGACTGGAATTAAAATTGCCCAAATTAACGGTGCCTCATCTCTTGCTCTTCTGCCTTGCCTTTCAACAGGTCGGTTCTTTTTCACTTAGAAAAGCAGGTTTTTGTTTTGTTTTGTTTTTGGCTAAGAATTGTGGAAAGATTAGTATGAAACTAGACTGAGCGGATTTGAAAGGAGAAGTTCATTCATTCATTTGGGTGTTATATTAGCAGGCGCATTTTCTTTCTTTTTTTTTTTTAAAACTTTTTTTTTTTAAGATTTTATTTATTTATTTGAGAGAGAGAGCACATGAGAGGGGGGGAGGGTCAGAGGGAGAAGCAGACTCCCCGCCGAGCAGGGAGCCCGATGCGGGACTCGATCCCGGGACTCCAGGATCATGACCTGAGCCAAAGGCAGTCGCTTAACCAACTGAGCCACCCAGGCGCCCAACAGCAGTTTCTAGGAGCTTATAGTTTGTCTGACAAAATGTTAGCTCGTATCCATTTGAGAGTTGTTTGCCTTTAGAAATTAATTATGTAAGTTTTTTCCTATGGATCTTGAAAGGTGGTTGAATTGGAATCTTAAATGCAGTCACACTTAGCTAAGGCCTAACATACGAGTACAGGAAAGAATATTGAAGTTGTATTACAGTAGGTTTAACGAATCAAAAATGGCTCTCTCTTGATCTGTCCATTTCTGGAAACCACCAGAAATGGGTTTTGGAGGCTGCCAAAGGCTGATGGTTGGGAGGAGGAACCGGGTATTGAACAAATATCAGTGACACCCCAATTACGAAGGAGGGTGGACTAGCAGCTTTTATGACGGATGGTATCTGGTCAGCAGCATCATCTGTCCTGGGGTCCCTCCCTCTGACACTGGGGTCCCGGGCGCTGAGGCTGGAGAAGGCGCTAGCCCCCTCAGGGCTGTGCGGGAGCATTGGAAGGGGCCCAGGGCGGGAGGCTAAGGGAGGCACAGGCCCAGGATGGTCAAAACAGTGAGTGGGGAGCAGGGAAGGATGGCCGAGGGCCCCAGGCCCAGTTTTAGAAAAAGCCACAACTTAGATATTGGCTTGTTTATCTATGCCCTGTGTGGCTACAACAAGCGCTTAAATGTCCAACATGTGACCTTCTGCTCTCCCACTACGGCTGTTTGTCTTAATTGATAAATCTTCATTGCATTCTGGTCAGCCTGATAATTTCTTAAAGCTGTCTGTTTCTGCTAACTTGTCGTGGAAATGCTTTGGTGTGGCCAGAGTTGAGTTTTGCTTTTATGAAATTCTGCTTTATAACAATACCTTCCCACCCTCCAGTGCTGCTCCCCAGAGCAATCTTTTCATCTTTTTAGCTCTCTCTTCTAGAATTCTCCACCTTATTTCCTGATAATACGCTCGTTTGTTCTTGGTTTTGATGTGTCCGTGTTAGACCGTGTCTGTCGACTTCCTGCCCTGAGAAGGGAGCACTCGGCAATCCCAGACCACCACCACCCACGGTAGTCATGCCGTAACTGGGGGCTAAGAAGCCTCCTTGGAATTGATTGTGATTATACTGATTGCTAGAGAGAGGCGTGTAATATGGCTCCAGGTTATTTCTTGGACCCCTTTGTTGTTTTTCCTGGGTAAACTCTTGCCTCTCTGTCTTCTCAGCAGGCTCTGTGCCTATGACAACGTCTCCCCAACTCTCTGACGCAAACCCAGCCCCCCCACTCGCTTTCCCGCCGCACCATGTAAACCAGGCGATCGATCCGTTCCATTGTTCTCTTTTTTTTCTGGAACGCCTCATCTTCTTGCTCGAGTCTGATGGCTTCCCCTGTCTCGCTGCACACATATTAATAAGGGAAGCCTGTCCGGGGAAATTGCTTGACTAAAGACATTTTTCGCAAAGTGCCTGTCAGATCTTTGCTCTACCTTTGGGGTCTTAACATACCTCTGATCGGCAGCATTCACGTACAGTGTACCCATTAAAAATCCATGGTAAAAAAAATTTTTTTTTAAAGATTTTTTATTTATTTATTTGACAGAGAGACACAGCGAGAGAGAGAACACAAGCAGGGGGAGTGGGAGAGGGAGAAGCAGGCTTTGTGCTGAACAGAGAGCCCGATGTGGGGCTCGATCCCAGGACCCTGGGATCATGACCTGAGCCGAAGGCAGACGCGTAACGACTGAGCCACGCAGGCGCCCCAGGGCACCAGTTAAATTTTATTCTTTATTTTATTTTTTTTTTATTTTTTAAGATTTTATTTATTTGACAGAGAGAGAGACAGCGAGAGAGGGAACACAAGCAGGGGGAGTGGGAGAGGGAGAAGCAGGCTCCCCGCGGAGCAGGGAGCCCGATGCGGGACTCGACCCCAGGACCCTGGGATCATGACCTGAGCTGAAGGCAGTCGCTTAACCAACTGAGCCACCCAGGCGCCCCATGGTAAAAATTTTTGAAAGCATTTCCTCAAAACTTTTTATTTCTGTAAGATATATATATGTGTATATATATATGTGTGTGTGATGTGTATATTATATATAATATATGGTCATTCCAGTTTTGGCATCTGCATTTTAT